TTTCCAAAAGTCAGTGCGCACTTTCTTTATAAAATCCCTTATTCAAACGTATTCTTTATAAAATCCCTTATTCTTTAAGTTAGTTCTTTGTTCTTTGTCCATTGATTCATTCCCTTTTATTCTAATTAATATTCCAGATGTCTTCAAAGTTAGGTTTCTTAATTCCTTTTATTTTAATATTGCCAGAGTAGCTCCAGAGGTAGCTAGCTAAGGATTCCTTATTTAATTATCAATTGATTGATTTTCTTATATATTATATTGGAGGCCTTGGTTGTTGAGGGGGGGGGGGAGTTTATAAATCAAGAGTCAACATTAATGCGGCAGGAAGGGCGGCCTAAACATATGCAGGGAATCGACTGCCGCCTTGTCTGACTGAGCCGCTTCTTGGATCTGCGGCCCCCTTGCTCTTGGCCTGGCAGTTGATCCTTCAGAAGCTATTAACCCACCGACCGCCGTGACCAAATCATGGTTAGGTTTTGGAGAAGCCACCGACCCGGAGGCCATTGACCTGGTGCATCAAGGTCTTGTCCGTGACTGGATGAAGTTTGCCGATGGCGGTCTTTCAAAGGCTCCACGCGCCCTGAGTTTAAGCACTTCGTCCATGAGGTGTTTCTTTCGAAGTTTACTCCGTTTACTCCCCTTCCAATCATGGTCACATGGATGGTCAAAAGAGACGCGCAGTTGACTCCCCTTCCCTTCACCGACCCTTCTGGACCCCATGGGGTCCATCCTGTCTAGGTCGATCATGGTCGATCTCATAGGCCGCGGCGACCGACTGGACTCTCGACTCGACTGGACTCTCTCCCCTTCCCTCCTGCGGCGGGAGAATCTTCACGGTGGCACTGAAGTTGCCCGACAAGTCGGGCTTGAAGTCCACCTCAAAACGCGGTCGCACCGACGGACGACGGGGCGATGTCTCTCCGTCCGACGGTGCAGGACTCGCGTCCGGTCCCGGAGCGCGAGGAGTGAGTAGCGGAAGCCGGTGGTTTGGAAGCCGTGAGATGGGGCGCCGGCCCGGAGTGAAACGGCGTGCAACCCAGGCGAGAAGATGGGTCTGGTTGGGATGGGATGAGGTTGGACGGGAAGAGAAGGGAGAGGTGGAGACGAAACAGCAATGCGCGAACGCAGGGCATTTCTTAAATCACGACACGGAGATATCCGATATCCTGATATCATGGTGACGGTGACGGTGGTTATGTGGATGGCCAACGGTCCCTACTGCATCCGACGAGTCGAAACGGGTTCGACTGTGCCGAGCGAATCGAGGAGATGACTGGAGCACAGGCCACGAAACGAAGAGTCTTCGGTCCTGTCGATTCGAAGCAGAAAAAGACACATGTCACATGTCACATCAATTACACAGGTTGGAAGGGCCTTTCTTGGACTTTCAGATAGTGAATGGATATAGGTTCGCAACAAGCTGCAGCTAATTCGGTGCTTGGGGAAAGACATCATACATCAACATCGTGCTAGCGGATTCACCCACCCCCCGCCCACATGTAAAACCCACACCGTGCCGGCGAGTTGACGTACTCCCTGGATCCGAGAAGGACAGCGGTCTCTTCGATCGATCGGCCTGGTTGGCCACCAAGAAGGACAGCATTCGCTCCTTCTCCGTCGGGGACAAATCCTCGTCTCGATTCTCGACCAGGCGGACCGGGCCGGACCGGGAACGGACCCGGCACCCCGGGAACGGGCCGCCCATGCTTTTTGGGGGGGACAAAAACCACCTTTGAGATTGATATTTTGTGATTACCATTTGATACCTGTTGCGTTTCTTGCGTTCACCTGCTCGACACGCTTCCCCTCTTCTGGTCATATTTCTATCAAACAAACAGCATAGTCTATAGTGATTCGAAGCTGTCTATTAAATTGATCGAGTACAGTTTTGCAGTTGACTCCAACACCCCAAACCCCATCGATTTCGGTCACAGCATGTCTTCTGGCCATATCTTCTTGTCCCGTCCGCGAACCGAGCCCTCGGAGCCTCACAAAAGAGGTCGCCCGATGTCATCGAGATCAATATCCGAGCATCTGAAAGCCTCACCCTGGGCACAGTTGGCACGGCCATGGCGACTGCCGCGAACCACCCAAGAAGTGCGGGCACACGTTGGAGGTACAAGTCTGGCTTGAAAAGGGTGATATTGCAGGTACTTCCTGGCTTTATTTGCATTTTGATGCATTTTGCAACTCATACCCCAAAGTGGCGAGGGGTAAGCTCCCCAACGCTGCTATGAGCTCCAGCCATCACCACCGGGTTTGTAGGGAAGGGAGTTTCGTTTTAGTCCTAGATCAAGGTGCAGATTGGGCAGTTCTTATTGATTTGGCCAAAATGTTGGGTCGAATTAACTTTGTTGGTGCAAACCGGTTGTGGTTCGTCCATGTCACTGCAGACTCTTGCTGTGTGCTATATAACTCTGGGGTCGGCGTTTGGACCTCTGCCAAGCTCAAAGGCAGCGGAGCAGAAGCTTCATGCTCGCCGTTGCAGAATATTGGCTACCCTCCACAAAGCCATGATGATACTCATCACCATACATTATGTAAGAGAAATCCATGCCTTCTTCCAAACCCGGTCACCTCCAGTGTTGGTACTCATATGTACTGTCAATTCAAAATCATGGAAACCAAAACAGTTTTGGCAAGGTGGTGCGTATACCCGAAATATTCTGAAACAGCTCGATTGTTTTACGTAAAACCATGATGCTCTGTCCAACTGTCAACATGTTGGCCACCGTTGTAGTCATGCGGAGGATCTCCCATGGGTTCTTGAGCTTTCCATCCAGCTTTCAGCTGCTGGCTTGAAGGCCTTGCGAATTCCGAGAATGGAAAGTCTCAATCATCACACTCCGAAAAGTGTCACTCTTTCACCCGGGCTCTGGGAGTATGAAGCACGTATATGACTAACTCAATAAAATAACACCCCAAGTTGGCGTTTTCGCTGATCGCCCGAGTCGGTTCTTTCAGATCTTCACCCTTCCCGGAAGCTCCCGGCACTCCGTCCGAGTGGTCCCGCACTCCGTCGATGCCGTCTTCCCATCTCCCCGCTCATGACCACACCGAGCATCGGGGGGGGGGGGGGGGGGGCCCCCCCCCCCCCCCCCCGCCCCCCCCCCCCCCGGGGGGGGGGGGGGGGGGGGCGCTAGAACGCCACTCCGAGATGCTCGTCTCTCCGCTATCTTCGCTGAATTACTCTGTTTTTCCGGGCTCGAAACAAGTGAAGACCGCCTCCAACTTCCAGAAGCTCTCCCGCAACAAGCTCAACAATCTCGGGAGGCCGGCGCCAAAAACACGGTCCCACTGCGACAAACCCACCACTACTCCCCGCCGTCTCGCTCGCCTTTTTCGAGCGGTTCTGAACTCAGCATTGCTTTGAATGCCATGCGCTTGTCCTCAGCGGCGACTCCCACGGAGACTCACGGCTTAGATTTGCCGAACGGGTCCGGAGAGATCTGCATTCGTGAGGCTTCGGGCCGCGTTGACCTTGAATTGTCAGCACGTCGGACGATTTCCTAGAGCTCAATAAGAAGCTCAAAGAAGCTCGTCAAGGGACATGCGTGCAATCGTTGCACATGATATACATGCAGCATGCATATCAATGAAATGTCAATGTTGCATCGTGAACTATCGACCCACACATGCTCCCTGCACATCCATTTTGACTTGATTTCGAGCTTGGCCAAGTCAACGTCCGCAAAGGACAGACGGAAGAAGTCGTCGACCGCTGCAGCGGAAGATGTTCCGGGCTCCTTGAGAGGTCCTCCAAAAAAGGAACACCAGCCGCTGGCGCCCAAAACGGATTCGGTTCCCGGTGCTCAAGTTTGCCGGTTTTGGGGGGAGTATTCTTGCATTGACTCTTATATAGGCCACGCCCTATAGGTAGTGCTTGTGGGAGTTCTTGCGCAATTCGGTGGGATTTCCACGATCCGCTGTGCACCACTCTGGACGCCCTCTCAGCGAACGCCCATCTGACGGGCTCGGCTCAGAAACCTCGGGCAGGGCGGTGAACCCCCGGCGAGCTGCAAAAACCACTGTCCGCGGATGTCGGTGGATCGAAATTCCAAAGGGGTGTGTGTCTTGACCAGTAATTAATTATAGGCGAGTGGCCAGGGGCATTCCGGGGATCCAAGAAGTGACATGGAGCTCCAGATTTTTGTTGAGAATAAACAGAATGAACAGGTATAGATGGTATAGATAAATGACCTCCATCAATGATTTTGCCGGCCTGCCCCACAATGTATGGATGAAGGGAACAAGTGCTTTAGACTCTCTCCGGCGCTGACTGCACTGGCAGGGCCACCATCGATTATTGACATGGCGTTACTGTAGTAGGAGCCAATATCGAAAACATGCAGAAACTTGCATGCCATTCTATTCTCACTATATGGTACAGTACTCTTCGTGGAACCAATACACCAAGATCCTACAAGGAAGTTCAGTAAGGTATTAAATGCCTAGCTGCAGTCGTAGAAAAACTGCGTTGGGCTTGAGCGGCCTGTTCTAAAGTTGTGGACCGAGAAAGAGTAAGTGTTCTGATTGGAGTTGCTGGGATTTGCCCCGTACCTCGTGGTGCCATTCTGCCGTTCAGACGTCTGGCACGCCTCTCTTGCTGATCAAACGACCAAAAGACACAAGAGACACAAGAGGAATGGGTAGGGGCCGCCTGGCATGTTGATGTTTGAGTCATCAAATCCCGTGTTTGACCATCCAGGTAAGCAGGTTGAATTTGATCATCAGTCAACTTCAAATTAAATAGGAACGTCTATATAATATATATTGGGTATATCATCCCATAAACAAGTAAAAGTGGATGATTATTGTAGTAAGGCCTTTCCCAACAAATAGTGATCATCTTTTACTGACTGTTACTAATGGGACACACCCTATCTATCTCAATCGCCCCAAAAGAAAAGGATCAGCGCCACTATAAGTTTTTATAAGGGTCTTTTGGATTCTTTTGGAGCAGTCTAAACCAAGTCTTACCAGCTGCTGGAGTCTCAGTCTCAACAATGAAAAGGTGAAGCCCTTGGTTTCCCTATCAGAGTTCAAAGCAATTGACGTGGGGTTTCCCATGCGTAGACCTGCACCAGTGTGCGGGACGTAGATTCCTACGGCAGACTTGTTTAGCATTCTGTGGGAACTCACTTTGTGCTTATGTACTGCGGGGCTGGCTTTGCTTACCCCACTTGCCCTAAGAACGTCATTTCGATCTGAAGAGTGATGAACAACTTGAGATATGATGTCGATCTGCTTCGTCAGGTCACTGGTTCACGTGGCAGCAGAAGTCCAACTTCTTGGGTGAGCCCTCTTCGGTGTCGGCCACCTTGTACTCCTTGGATCCACGGATCGGTTCACATCTTTTTGTGAACCCTTTCAGTGTTTTGAGGCCTTGGTGATTGAAAAGTAGGCGAATTGCTTGTGTTTTAGGTAGACAGGTAGACAAAGAGCATTTTACACTGCAAATATCAGCATGTTTACCCCGTTTCCGTGGTTGTTTGCTTCGACGGCCGAAGTAGTTGCCATCTATCTGATTGCAATACAATGTCCACAGTGGCAGTCACAAAAGGATCGGGGGTGGAAGCATCACAAAAGGTCTTCAACAGGCTATCAATGTAGAACGGGTCCACCTCAAACCACCGATTCAACAAGTGCGGAACTTCATCCACCCCTGTCCAGTGTCCCAACCGCAACAACAAATTGAAAGCAAGAGACAAAGCAGAAGGAATTGAAAAACACACCATACTAAGATCTGGAAAACTGCGGTATACAACACACACGTGCTTGACGGAAAAAAAAGAACACTGTGCCAAGCACAACCCATTAAAACTCTGACATTCATGGAACATATATATAAGTACTTTTCCGGGGAAGAGACCGTGACTCACAACCTATATACTGCATCGACAACGGACGTTATTATCCCGGCCACACCCCCCACCCCTCCCACCCTCCAGAACCCATGCTTATCACAGGAAAAACGCTTAAAAACATCAAGTCAAAAACAACACAAAACACCGCGGCCCTCTATGGGCGGTGCTCCAACTACTGATACTGTAACCCCCATGTAACGTCGACATCAGAGAAACCCTCATGTAACATCAACATCATTATCCCACCCCACCCCCCACCCCCCCCATGTAACATGAACATCACCGCAGCATCACCAGTTATATGTAGTGTCTTCTGGTCAGGGCCGGACCAAAGGTCCACCGTGCCGGACGACCTTTGGAAGGTCGTTCCCGGTGGGAAAGCAATCCAATGCGGTACTTGCAGCTGAGAACAACGTACTAACTCGTTTGGGGTAGGAGGAACTGTGGAACTGGGCACCCAACTCACGAGAACGTGTTGCGTCCCAAACTCACCCATCCACCGAGGGCTTCCGCAACAGTCATGAAGCCTGTAACAAAAAAGAAACTGAAACTATACCCCAATGTAGGTCAATGTGCCAGTCCCCTTGCTGGTGGTTTTAAGTTATAAGTAACGACCAGCAGGACTCCTGCTTTCCTGGATCTGCATCAACCATCAGGGAATGATCCAAAAGGAGTAACGTAGACTCTTGATTGATAAAGCCTGCAGCCTGCACATTTGGATTGTAAAACCTCTTTGTATCATTTACACATTGGGGAGTGCATTAAACCAGCAAGTCTACAATAAGGTCTTGGGAAGGGATGGAATGGACCTTGAGCTGAAAAAGCTGATCTCCCTGAAATTGACCCTAAACTGGGGTATACTACCCCGCATACCCATTCTATAACTATAAACGGTCTCCCCCCAGTGACTGGTCCTTATAAAGCTCAGCTGATCAGCACTGCGAACGAACACCTCCTCCGCTCCGCCTGCTCAAACCCTCCCCACGATTTGACCGTGCCAAATAAAGGAAAAATCCCTTCTCCCATCAGGTGAACCTTAGACTTATCCATAATATATATAGGTATTACATCAGTGATAGGTAAATCCGTAAATCCGTGCAGGTTCATGAAACATTTACCTCAGTCTCCATCCCTCTGTCCAAGTCTTGTCTTTCTCAAGCGAGCAGGTTTTTTCTTGTCATGGCACCGTACACTTTTCCACCGAACATGAACAGATTCCTCGCCCCTGGGGTGTCCACCGACCATGGTTCTTCTTCTTCGACCCCTTCGAAGAGCGTACTCAGGTGCGTCCTCGCCCGTGCGCCCAAGAAGATAGTGCCGGTCCCAAGGTGCGTAGAGCTTCTGCTCGGTGGCGGCGGCTTCATGCGCCTCCACTGTACCTGGAGGGTTAGAGGATGTTAGAGGTGACCAAAGCCTTGGGACCGAGGTCTGAACCAGGCTCGAAGTTCTAAGTATAACTAATTTCAATGAATTTCACCATGATTTGCACCTGAGTTCCGCTTCCGAGCCCAAAGATCTCCCAGGACACCTAGATCGCCCAGCCGTGGGCCCTCACCGGCCGACGGACCGGGGACGCGGGCGACGCGCCTGAGACGAGCCAGTAGATCAAGGTGTGCATCACCTCTGCCGCGATCAGCACCGGAAGGCCTCAGGCAGGCGCTCCGCCAGGCACTCAAAGATGTCACGACTGGGAAGTATAAAGGGGTATATCATGGTATATGCATACATATAACAAGTTGCTGGTGCACGACTGGGGTATCCCTTCTATTCATCAACCAAGCAAGGCCGTAAAAGGATGTAAAAGACCATCTAGGATTGCACTCTGACAACTCACATTGACGTGAATGGCATAGGATGATTTTGCTCTACGAAGAGGGTGGTGTTCCACGTCCATGTGATGTGCTAGTGGGAGTGCGCACTCGAGCTCTAAGGGAAACTCCAATGGAAGTGGAGTCCGCCACCTATTTGGTCTTCGGAAAACTTTCATCCAAGGGTTATGCCATCCACTTCCACGATTGTTCAGGGAGTGTGTAGGGGTTTCGGGGGTGATGTCTGTTGATTTGGATTGATTTTGGTTTGGGGGAGGGAAACAGGGGTTTCTGCTGCAAACACTCCTGGATGGAACTCTTCCAATAACTAAATATACTTCTTCTAAGATGAACCCTCGAATAGATAGAACAGGAGTTTGCAAGGCTCTCTGATGGCGCATCGGAGATTCTTTCTATCATTTGGGGAGCAGCTCTCCATCTGATCGGGAAGCAAAAAACCGCCAGGTGGCCCGGGTGTCCAAAACGGGCCAACAGAAACAAGAGAATGGAGAAAAACGAACACCTCCCACGATGCCCTCGTGGGACCCATACCAAAAAACAAGTACCCAAATAATCTCAAAAACTGCAGCCGCACTTGGTCACTTGGCACCTGCAGCCGCTCGTTCCTGGACGTTCCGTTCCGACCGTCTTCGACCGCTCGTTCGTTCTCGCGTCGTCGACCGGATCGTCTCGGTCTCAGCCTTCGCGGGTCGACACCACAATTCCCTGCTTCTTGTAAATGCCCATGCAAAAGGTGATGACCTGAGGACTCGTCATGACTAGTCGTGACCCCGACCTGTGTAGTCCGTCTCAAACGACCGAAATGGAGCTGATTGGTGTTCAGACTCTTCGGGTCATGTTTGGGTGGGATGGTACACCTAGCAGCCATGAGTGGGTCTAGCCTATAAAGCATGCCCCACGGCAATTTGTGTGGACGATTGAAGATGCGTCTCGGACCTCAACAATTCTATAGCTAGCAGTCTTGGACTCCACTTGGACCCAGTCTCCACTTGGGCACTGCTAAGGACGTCCGTCCCAAAGTGTGCAGGGTTCCCACAACAAGAGAAACTGGTCCCACTCATTCTCTTTCATTTGCAAGTAGTTGCATCCTTCCACCCATACGTGACCAGAAGTTCAAAGCTCTGTCAGGCATGAAATGTGCATGGTCGAAACTCCTGTACAACTAGGACAAACTATTTGGACACATAGTCCCATAACTGCATGAGGACCTAGTGGGATTGGGATGACTAGAAAATCGGTCCCTCACCTCAATTCAGCCATTGTTGAAGCAGGATGTAGCTGTGCGCCTTTCAGTAGGGCACCTATAGAAATAAAACTAACACATCTGAATCGCCGTGATGTCTCCAGCCAATCTACATCTCTCGCTCCCTATGTTGTGCTACGCCACAGCCCTACAAAAACATTATTTAAGAGGTAACGGACCAGGTTTTACTGGGTCTTTTGGACTTGTAGGGTTCTGTTCAGAAAGTTAACATGAAATCCTGCTACACGGCACCTACAGGACCTACGGCGGTCGAGGCACATATACACCCATGATGGACACATCAAGCATTGCCAGCTTCCGGACCATCTTGGCCTCGGTGAACGGCATACCGTTCCATTCGGAGGCAGTGCCCAAAGGCTGGATGAAGACCCCAAAACAACCATGTTGTGCTCGTTGCTTCACCTCCCGAAAGTCGCTTCATGTTGCGTTGCTCCATTTGGCAATAAACCACTGTCACCAGACATCCCCAATATCGCTGTCAAAACCAATTTGGTAGATTCTTCCTGAAACCCTGAGCTTCACCACTTAGGTGAATTCAATCACTGGCCAGTCTCTCCGCAAACAACAAAACGACGAAAACCCATGATCACCAGGCTTTTGGATCTTCACACACCATGACAAACACACACGCTAGGTCGCTAGGTTTCGACCCGATGTCGGATCTGAATCCACCTGATGAAGCCGGATCTAGTAGCCGTTGGATGAGGCTTTATATAGTCTCTTGATGTCTCTTAGTAGAGTTTGATGTATTTCTCCAGTCATACTTCTTGATTCAATACATCGAATCGGGGATGCTCCATACGGACTGGTTGTTTCTTTAGACTCTAAACAGCGGATCGCCCGATTGGTTAGTTGGGCGGTTCCCGTAAGATCGAACACCAAGGCCCCGTGCCCAGGAGTAGAAGCGGCAAGGCCCTTCGACCTCCGAACAGTCGGGTCAGGGTCACGACCCCGTGTGACCCCGTAAGACCAACGATCTAAACTTGGTCACCGATTAATAAACCCGTCCCTCTTGAATGGACAAAACATGACAAAACGGTTCATATCCTCAGAATTGCAAAAAAGACGGCCAACAAAAATTTGCCTTAGGGTTCCTGGCCATCTCCTCAGGTTCGGTGGACACCCCCCGGGCACCCGCCCCAACACCTTTGAAAAGGAAGGAAGTTGGAGCCCTAGGGCCCTAGGGTATCTTTTCAGTTTTTGGGTGTTTGGGTGTGTTTCGGGGCCTGAAACTCCACATGAACACCTATAGCTGGCTTAGGTCGATCATGTTCAATCTTCAGTGCTTTCTGCCCAGACGCGGGAGACCTCAGACCGGGAGCCGCGGCCTCGCCCAGGCGCCAAGCACTGAGTGCCAACAAAAGCACGTCTGCAGCGGTCAAAACCTGGGGCGCGTGGCCCGGTGCCGTCCAAAGAATGAACACACCGAGAAATCGAAAGGGCACCGTGCTGTAGATACGCCCCAACCAAGCGGGGGTTCCCCGCCCGCCGGACACTGAGGTGTTGGACAGTTGGGGTGTCTCAAAATGCACCTGAAGACCTTTGGTCTGAAAATGAGATTAAAAGGGAAATATCACTGGTCATCATTGGGTCCCTTCCGTCCAGTGTTGTTTTCTTGGATCACAAGACATGCCAAGCAAGAAACATGTTCCATAGGCGTGGAATTTGAGAGAGTAACAACCACCGGAATCGTGTGAAATCACAAGGACAAGGATTGCACTCCGCAGAACACATTACACGGAAGTGGAGTTCACAACCTGTTTGGACTTCGGATTTCATGGTCATCCGAAATTGGGGCCACGCCGTCATATATACAAGTATGTAATAGTATGTGTATATATATATATACCATTCACTTCCGCAAATATTTCTGGGAATGTAGGTCATTGTAGATCTATTGGATCCACAAATCATCACAAATGCATTGTGTTTAATGTTGCTGCAAAGGTGATCGCCCAATAGTGTTAGGTCATTTTTGCTTGAGCCATGGATAGCCATCGACATTGGCAAGATCTTTCTTGTCTTTAATGGGGGCGCTACATGGACAGTGACAGAGTCTCCTCTTGAAGATCAAAGTGTTGGAGATCAGCTCAGCAACAATCACGCAGAAGCCAAACATCGCGAAAGCAAACAAACCTCGGTGAGTCAGTGTGGCCGAGGTCAGTGGTTTCTCATGATAGACTGACTGGGACATAGTGGGACTGTGCTGATGTTCCTTGATAAAATGTGTTTGATAGTTTGATGACAATGAACGAACTGTATCCAAGTATCTCGTATGAAAAGCATGAGTCCTGGACACATAATCACCATACAGTAATATAAGAAACTTATTAAAACTTGTTTGCTTTGATCTGATTGTTTGGACTTGCCCTTCTTGACTTCTAAAACGGGACAGACCCTTTCCCCTTAGAATGCTACGTGCAACATGTCGACGCCTAAGTTGCGGTCAGATTTCCACACCTGAAACACTTTACTACCCTCCAGGTCGATGGTCTCGTAAAACTAGATCATTAGAAAACATGTTTCATGACTTCTATTTACTTTCTAATGACTTCCAGGTACTTGGAGTCATTCCGACCATTGTGGTCTTTTCATGTCTTTTCCATGGCTCCAGGAGGTCATTTCACGTGGATTTACACTGGACTAGCATCAATCCCAAGAGCCATCAATGTAGTGGTCAAACACTTGATGGACAAGCATCATCAACCATCAGATTTTCATGTATTGGATGGCCCAGTGGGAGCCATGAAGCGGTCATTGGCTCTTCCAAGGGCTTCTCTGAGGAGCATTCGAGGAGAAGGTGGGACGGCATGTTCAGCCGTGGAGGGTTTGGGTGTGCTGGGCGCACTGCTTGATCACCTGCCCAGCTGCGAGTTGTGGGCTCAAAGTGGCCTGATGGAGCTAAAATAGTTTTTTTGATCGAGCTCGAGGGTTAGATTTGTTCCATCCACACCCCCAGACCAAAAGGAGGCCCACAAACATGCCATCGAATCTAGAAACCACGGCTATAGAGGGTAACGATCGACGGCGACGATCGACCGCGAGGGACACGGAGGGTGTGATCGACGGCGAGGGACAACAGGTGCATCCAACCCACCACAATGGCCATTAATGGTGTTGGGGGATGTTCGTGTAAGATCCGGCCAGCTATCAACCACGACATGTCTTAAATGTTGAACTACCCCAGGCCTGGAATAGTTACGTTGGACGGACAGTTAGAATACACTATTTATTTTAAAGCGCAGTTAGAATATAGAAATTTAAATCGCAGCCAGCACTGCAGTTAGAATTTCCCAACTGCAGTTAGAATATAGTGTATTCCAAATGCCAGTCCATCATAGTAGCAACTAAGAAAACAAACTCTTAAAGGTTCACATGCGGCTTGTTCTATGTAGAGTATTGCCTTAGTCTCAGCTGGGGATAGTTAGTTTATGGAAGTATCACAGCGCTTGAAACCGACAGCTATTGATTGAGATACTAAAACAATTCTGAAACCGTTCCTTTGACCTATATTCTATCTGCACCTTTTTGAAGCACTACGAATTGAATCTGCTATAAAGAAACTCTTCACACATTCATTGGCACACCTTTTCTCTTTCCCATTGTTCTGCGATGTCCCTGTGCTGTGCTCATCATCCCATATGTGGACTGTTCTCCTCATGCCTGTTAGACAACCCTTTCAGTGAAAGGAATGCAGTTAGAATTCAGCGCTCCATGTTCCTTGCCTTGACAGCCT